CACTCGAAAAGGTTGGTGAAGGGATAATGGCATTTAGATTTAGTTGTTCCCTGGAAGGATGCTCTATTTACAAAATGTCTCTGCAGCTAGAGAATAAATTGAGAACACAGAAGATGTGGGGAGTCCTAAATCGCAGAGCTGGGACGAGTTCGCCTCTGGATTTCGATTCATCGCAGAGGCATTCCGTAGTCCAGCCAGTCTTGACCACAGTATTTCTCTTATTGTTTACTTTAGAGAACAAAAGCTAAAATTGAAAATTGTTAAAATATACCCCAAGCACACACACACAAACACACACAGAGATAGAGTGAAAGAGATTGAGCTACTTTCTTCGTATCTTATTTGGTGGCCTTTTTGCCTGGTTTACTTTCCTTTTTCTTGGCCTCATTCCACCGGGCAAACAATGTGGCAGGACGTATAGACTGAACGGGGAGTGGGTAGGACGCCAATAAATAAGCACCGGAGGTTTGCCGGACAATGGGAATGTGACTTTTTTCTGGCTCCCTCCCGGCGGATTCCATTCCATTTGTTTGGCTGCTTGAAAATGGTTTTAATTGTTGTTCATCGTCCCCCTGTAAATGTTTTTATTTTCTGTTGTATTTTTTTTTGTGGGTGGCTCTCCTTATTGTTGGCCAAATATAATAAGATAGCAGTGCGTCATTTTGTGTAGTCGCTTCTGTTTGTCCCGCTCGCTCGTGTTTGCGTTTGTTCTGGTTTTGGGTTTTCGGTTTTGGCTTTGGCTAAGAGTAAATTAAGTGCCAATGTTAATGGCAGTTATGGCCTGGCTGGCATCTGGCTTTGGGATCTGCCAACAGCAACAAAAGCCTGGCCATTTGGGTGTCTTAATGTTGCAGTAATAATGGCTAAAAGTGTGTGTGCACTGAGATAGTCGCTCGAGATTTATAGCTCCTCAGCTCTGCTTTCTTTTCTTTCTTTCGGCATTAGAGGAAGAGGGTAATGTGTGGTCCAAGAATGGCCCAGTCTGCCAGGAGTCGTCTCCAGGGCAATACAAATGTAGTCAGGGTAAATTCGAAAAAAAGCAGACCATTTTTAGCCGGTGGGAAGAGGCAATGAATTATTGTTGAAACTATGGCAAGTGAGTAGATATTCCAGAGCAATTATGGATACGGTATTATGTTTTAGGTAATTAATATTTATGTTTCTGTAACTTGAGTAAAATTATAAATATTCTCTAAAAGACAATGATCCCATAAAAGAGTGCGACTTAAATTATCAGAAAGGGAAAAATGTTTACACTCTTGACGGGGGTATTTTTACGGGCGGTAAAAAATCAAAAACTGAATTATTTATTTATTAAATTTAAAAATCTACATCATAAGATTTTTTGCTAGAGTGGAAATTCTAAAAAAAAGCCTACATTCACACTTACATTTTGACATTAGTATGAAAATACTTGATTTAAATACGGATTTAAATTAAATATTTTCATATTTCTATTAAATAAATTTAATTAAAATGCACTATGTACGAGTATTTATTTAAAACCATTTTGTTTTAATTGCCTAATTTAGGGAACATCAAATTGGTGTTTATAAATTTTTCAGAATAGTTCTTGGAGAGACCTTTAATAAACTATAAATGAGTAAAAAATCCGTAGAAGAACCGAACAGCTTGAAATTATAAATTAAATACTTATAGCTCGGAATTGATTCTAGACCCTTGACATATTCAAAAAGTTATTCGATAGACCCCAATGTATCCTTAGCTTCTAATGGCCAATGACCATCGACTGGTCTTTATTTATAGCTAAACAATAAAAATAGAGGGGAAAAACCATTTAATAAGTGATTTAAGTAAGCAATCATAAACATTAACTGCATGTATTTAAGACACTACAAAACAGGCCATAAAAGGGCAAGCAGACCAGGCCAGGCCATGCCAGACCAGACCAACAGACCAGCAGCAGAGAGCATCAGCATCGGGCAACGACTTAAAAACCGACGCGACGCCAGACGAATTCGATTAAAGTTAAGCCATAACAAGCCAAAGCCGACGAGCCGGGTTCCCAAGCTTAGCCAGCCACAAATAATATAACAATTTAAATAACAAGCCATGGCCATGGACTCCTCTGGGAGGATAGGACAGGACAGGTCAGGAGCGGAGAGCAGAGGAGCCAGTGGCAGAGCCAGGCAAACACCAAACGCGTTAGTTAGATAGATTGATCTACATGTACACGACAACACAGCCAGAGTAGGAGACTTGGAGTCCGAGTCTGAGTCTGAGTCTGAGACAGACTTCCACTTTGGTGGACTCTGCCTCTGGATGACTCCTTGTTGCCTCTGCAGACTTTGTTGCATGGATGTTTGCTCTGTCTCTGCCTCTGTCCCTGTCCCTGTCTCTGTGTGTTGTCCTAGGTTCCTGGTCTGTCCTGGCCTGGCCTGTCCTGGCCTGGCCTGTCCTGGCCTGGCCAAGAGCATGTCAAAACAAAATAACATCTTTAGCGCGCAAACATGACAAAACATCAGAATTCCAGCAGATTAACGTCAATTTTAATTGCATTCACTTAGACCAGGCTCAAGTCTATGAGAAGCAAAGCCAACACAGCACGGCACAGCACAGGCGGCAAGCATCTGGAAATATGCATACAAAAGCAACAAAAACAAAAAAGAAAATCAAACAAGAAAGGTTCTGGGATAGAGTTGAGTCATAGAATACCCTAACATTACATACGCGGAGGGGATTAGCATGGCATGTAAATATTGCATGGGGTTTCCAAAAGCATTCTGTAAGAAAACTCAAAAAATCAAAAGATGGAATATTCAGCTCTGTGGAGAAATTCCTTTGCATTCCCAGCGTAATAACTAAAGCTGCAATGAGTCTGTAGAACCCTCCGCCGCAAAAGTGTAGCCATAAATATACAAAAAAGAGTTCCAGCACAACAAAAAGGGTTTTGTAAAGGCCAAGAGCTTAACCAGAGAGAGCAGGCGAACAGGCGAACAGGCGAGCAGGGACCTGGCAGACAAGGCAAACAAAGTTCCACAAGGTTGTGATTAACATGCGATAAAAAATGACCGGGCTGAGCGAAGGCTCTCCTACAGAGTGGAGTCGCCTCCTGGTCAGCCTGGACTTGTGTACGTGTTTGCATTGGCAGGGAAGTCCAGCAGCAGCACAAGCAGCAGAAGCAACAGCAGCTCTCGAGTACACGGGGCCACTCTCGGAGTACAAAAGTTAAGTGTCTGCCTGTCACATGCGATTTGCACCTGCCGGATGAGCCATGGAGGAGGACGCCCGGCTTTGCGTGGATTATTTATCATCTGCGCCACATCGGACGCAGACGCAGACGCGGACGAGGCCAGGTTTCGTTTTAAGCAGGTTCCTCTGCGCCCCCCAGCTCCAACCCAGCTGCCTCTCTGTGCTCCTCCCTCGCAGCAACGAGATGCACGTTGCAAGATTCACTCTTCTTTGGGGTTTATTTTCCTCTTCTTTTTTTTTTTTGTTTTGCGGAGAGCAGAGCTATAATCAAGCCCTGGCAAACATTTGCCCAGATACAATTTTTGTCTGCCGGTCGTTCATAAATTTTAATATTTTAATTTGACTTAAGACGATGAACACATAAAGCCGGGACGGGACATTAAACCCTGCATCTGTGAGATCGTATGCACGGGGCAAAGGCAAATGCAATTTCTTGTGAACTGTGTTCCAGTTCCAGTTTTGTCGTCGTGCTTTGAATTACCACAAAACGGTTTACATTTCCTGTGCATTTTGTGCTTTGATTTTAGGAAAATTAACAACAGCTCAAACAAGCAGCGACCCAAGCGACTAACCAACCAGCAACCCAGCAAACAGGCCAACATCCGAACAGCCCATCCAGCCAGGCGAGTCAACAACATGGCCCAAAACGAATCGGCGTCATCATCACTAGAATACAGCAGCGGCAGCGGCAGCAGCAGTGAGAACAAGGTGAGTGGTGTTGGGACCTACTCACACAAAAAGCACACTGAAAATACCCTAAAAGATTGAACTACGTTTTGAGGAGAGTACGAAATACTTTGGGGGTTATCTCCCCCAGCATACTAGGGATTAAATTTCATTTAATTGTATTGTGATTTTAAATACTTCATTGAGAATCTTCTTTGGAGATATATATTTACTGAATGTTTTGCTTTTTCATAAACTCCTTACTCTCTGGCTATGTGTATGAGTAACTCCATAGGCAAGCTCCCACAGTTTGCATAGACACCGTCTAATGGTCAGCTAATGGTCATTGCCTTCTTCATGGCTCTGCGGTGTGTTACGCCCGGGGAAAGGGCATTGACAAACAGCGTGCAGTCATTCGGATTGCAGCATAGCATGTTGTTTGCTTCGCTGGTTTCATTTGCCCCATACCAACCCAAGCCAACCCATCCCCCACTCGTAACCCTGGCCATAGCCCGGCTAAACCTCTGGCTATGATGCGACCAACTGCCATAGCACGCTGACTTGGCTTTGGATACGCTTGTTTGATTTGGTTTGTTTCGGCTCCGGCTCCAGATATAGCTACAGCTACTGCTACAGCTACAGCTCCGGTTCTGGCTTTGTCGTTGGCCAAAAGGCTTCGATTCAGCTTTCGGACGCTTCTGCTAAACAGGTTAAAATGTCGTTCAAAATGTCAAGTCAACACTTTGATGTTGTCCGTGTCCGTGTCAGTGTCCGTTGTGGTGGTGGCTGTTGACTGGTGCTTCAGTTACGGCTGCTGTAGCTGTAGCTGCTGCTTCAGCTTTGTTTGCGTGTGATCTGCGCTTTATTTATGCAACATTCAGCACACGACGAAACATGCAACCAGAGCCGAAAATGTTAAGTGCTCCTCCGATAGATGCGATACAACGGAATAGAACGGACTGGTCTGACTGTGGATGGGTGGATGGGAGGGGGAAAAGTCTGCATCGTGCTGTCGTTGGCAATCTTGTTGTCGTCCATCGAAAGTTGTTCTAATGCAGGAAGAAGATTTTTGGTAATGAAACGGTAGCGGTTAATGTGGGAATGAGGTCGCCATAGAACCCACAGCAACCCCACTCACACGAATATGCCCGAAAATTGAATAATTTGTTTGCCTCCTATTTCCTTGTTGATTTGTGAAAATTTTAAAATTCTCTGTACCATAAATATGAGCGAAACAAACACGGAACACGATGGGGACGCAGTATTCAATTCCAATATGGATTCATTAATCGACCGATTGATCAAATGCGATAATCCCCACAACGGCTTGCAATTGCCCGAGAATCAGATTCGATATGTCTGTCATTACGCCCGCAGGGCACTCCTCGAGGAGGAGACCCTGCTGAGGATCGCGCCACCGATAAAGATCTGCGGCGATATCCATGGACAGTTCTCCGATCTTTTGAGGATCTTCCAGTTGGGCGGATCGATACCAAAAGAAAAGTAAGTCACCCAAACATATGTATACATGATCAACTAATCAGTCCGATCGATGCCTCGTTAGATACCTCTTTCTGGGCGACTATGTGGACCGGGGAAAGCTGTCCGTGGAGACCCTTACCCTGCTGCTGGCCTACAAGGTGCGCTATCCCAACAAAATGTATCTGGTGCGCGGCAATCACGAGTCCGCCAAGATGAATCGGGTCTATGGGTTCTTCGAGGAGTGCAAGCGGCGCTATTCCGTCAATCTGTTTCGGAGTTTTGTGGCCGCCTACGACTGCATGCCACTGGCAGCCGTTGTGGGTAAAAAGATATTCTGCGCCCACGGCGGCATTAGTCCGCGGATGACCTGCCTGAACGATATAGCGGACGTGGAGCGTCCGTTGGAAGTGCCCGATGCCGGACTCGTCTGCGACCTTCTGTGGTCCGATCCGGATGAGAAGACCCAGGGTTGGGGCGAAAATGATCGCGGTGTGAGCTACACCTTTGGACATAACGTTGTGAATCTGTTTTGCAAGCGCATGAAAGTCGATTTGATTGTTCGCGCCCATCAGGTCGTCGAGGATGGCTACGATTTCTTCTCCCGCCAGCTGATTACCATCTTCTCGGCTCCGAACTACGCGGGCATGTTCGACAATGCCGGGGCCATCATGAATGTGGATGCCAATCTGGTGATCACCTTTATCATTATCAGGCCCACATATACCGTAGGCCAAGGCGGCGGAAAGACACAATTATTGGCTACCGGACATAATCGGAACTTTTAGGGGCTCTGTAGCGGTGGAATTCATTGGCAAACCATTAAAACAACGTCATGAAGTTTCCGAATTGAGGCTAGGTCTTTCCTTAATGCTTTTCCATGCCCCCACTTGGGCGCATTCAGACCCCAACGCTCCTGTCCCTGTCGAAATGTTGCCAAAAGGCTGTTGCTGCTGTTGCTGCATTTCTGAGAATATTTTACGCTTGTTGAGGCTGACGACACAACATTGAAGCCACCGCCAACGAAGACGACCGAGTCTGTGGGTCTGTGTATCTGTGTGGTGCCTCCGCCTCCGCCTCCATCTGCGGCATCACCGAATCTCCGCATCTCCACATCTCGGTGTTGCCGTTGCCATTGCCATTGCCTCTCCCCAGATGTTGAGGCTGCTGCTGGCACAAGACTACTACTAGGGTTTCGAGTTTTGTTTTCTTTGCACTCGAGTTGTATCACATCAATGGCCATTGTGTACGTCAACTTTGATGTTTCGGCTAAAGTTTTGAAGTGTGAGGTTTTAGACGTTCTTATTGCACTTTCCTGGAGCTGTAGCTCTGGAGTTTGAGTTAAAGTCGGAGTCCGAGAAGCGTCCAACTGCTGCCGTACCTTGACAGGTGAAGAATGCGAAAGAAAGAAACACACACATTTCAAGTGCCACAGTTGCCGGGCCACTTGAAAATCAACTCAAGCCTTTTAGGAGGAAAAATCGACATGGCAGGAGTCCGGAGTCAGCACCAGAGTTGGAGCTGGAGCTGGAGTTCTGGTCTTGCTGCCTACGTTTCCCCCGATTCCCGAATACAATATTTTTGTTTGCACACACACAGACATTTCCCTTGAATTTTCTGTTCTAATTGAGTAAGAAGTGTGCGGTGAGGTTGCAGTTTTTCCCTTTCGGCCAACAACTGTTGCGGCCGATTTGCCTGACGGCTTTAATTGGATTTTCATACCTGTTCCGCCACCAATCTCTCTCTCTCCCTCCCCCCAGCTCACTCTCTTCCATGTCTTCGATGTTTGATTGGTGTTTGTATAATGAACTTGCAGTATTCTGGCTGGATATGGGGGATCGGGGATTGGGATCGGGGACTGGGATCGGGGACTGGTATTGGGACTGGCAGCAGCTGTTATTGTGAGATGACTTAAATGTAACGCGTGAAATTTAACACACATCATCGATGCTCTTGCCCCTTTATTCCACCTTTAAGAAAATACAAATTCTCTCACTCTCTCTCTCTCTCTCGCTCTCTCCGCTCTCCCCGTGCCCTCTTTTGCTGTTGTTGTTTATTTAATTTATGTTATTATTACCTGATTAAGTATGAAATGGTAATGGCATCTCAATGTGTTGATTCTCGTTGTGTTATTTAATTCAGAAATTGATTAGGACCAGGAAAAATAACAACTGATTGAGCTACCCCGCCATACTTGCACCTCCCCTGACAATGTAATTACTGGAATGTGTGGAATTTTCTGCTCTACAAAATGTCTATTTTCCATAATGATGAGTTTGAGAAAAGGTTCAGAGAGAGTGTGGTGTGGGCAAGTTTCGGATGCCCATTGTTATGTCAACAGGAAAGATGAGTTCATGGAATGTAAATTGTACATAAGTAGTTATTAAATAGGGTGGAATCGATTAGGCATTGGAGGAGGAACTTCTTTAAAGTTAAGCTTAATTGAGTAATTCTGTAGGTTGGGGAATAGCAAGAGGAAGCGAAAGAATACGAACTGAATTTAATTTAAGATTGATAATAAAATAATGCCAACACACTTCCATTAAAATACAAGCATCAAATTCTAAGCCATCCTTGAACCATTCCAGAAATTTTCAATATTAAAAAGACTACCAGCATATTTAAAAAATATCCGAAAAATATACCTGGATTGAATTATAATCATAAATAATCGAGAAAGAGATAGGCATAATACCAGAAGAAAATACTGTACAAATACCTCCAATGAGTGAGATGTTATTTCTTTACTCAACACACAATTTTCCCTGCACTAATTAACATAGTAAACAAGAACTCATCCAAATACCGTAAGTCCATCCCCTCAAATTCGCTTTAAACCTTAAGCTTTTACTGCCACAAGCCCACAGGAAAAGTTGTCAGAAAGCATTCGGCTTCTAATTAACACAATGGCAGTGGCAGTGGCAGATAGGAAAACAAAAAGTTCTGAAGCCATTCCCCTCCATTTAATTGCAATAAAAAATGGTTAAACAAAGTAATAAAGAACCAGGGGACCCTCCTCCCTGCAGTTGCCATTTTTACGAGTCCAATAAACAGAAAACAAAATTCATCATATCTAGAGCACGGCATGTATGTAGCTCCTCTCACCTAATGAGCAACTTGGGGTGCGGTAAGTGCAACACTTTTTAATGGTCTTTGAGGCCGGCTCGAGGCTCGTAAAATGTGCCAAGTGGGCAGGCGGCGACTGTCGGCATTTGTGGGGCAAAAGGAAACACTGAAGAAAAACATGCATACATCGAGGGAAAATTAAATGGCTGCAATAATTAAAACACCTGTTTTAATTAGATAGAAATGCATGTGTACCTAGGCGCTGTCTCTGCTCCGGTTCTGTGAGAATGAAGAACCGAGAGCGGAGAGCGGAGTAGAGCTGGGAGTCATAGGTGAGAACATCCACATCGACCCTGACCAACGGCGACGACGACAACAACTTGTTGAAAGTTCTCTTTTTCCAGCTCGAAATTAATGACTCCCGGACTCTCGGCGGCGTCTTCAAAGTTGGAGGCGAGCGAACGAACAACTTCATCATCACCGCCGAGGAAAACAGCTGGAGGTCTGTGTTCTGCTGATGATGTACCGCTATCTGTGGTTTTTCAGAGAATCTTTCTGCCCCGCCATTGTTCGGCGTTTGACTAACCTTTGACTGCAGGCCACAATACATGCGAGTATATGACAAAACATCATCGGGATCAGGCATAGGGGCGCACACCCCTAAGCCGCATAATCCTTTTTCGCTGCTTTTTCACTTGAATGATCAGCATCAAAGGGCACAATGGGTGTCACTCAGTGTCCCTATCGCAGATAGCGTCCGAGTCCGAGAATGCAAAGATTATTGTGATGTCTCATTCAGGCATGAAGATGATGTATTTATCTACTTGCCTTCATTGGATTGCGGTTTGGTACGGAGAACTAAATAGTAAAATAATGATTAACATCCAATAGATTTGCTCCGATTTATATAACTAAAATTTGTACTACGAGTGAAAGATTTAAAGAGACTTCTTTCTGCAATCAAAGAAGTCTAAAATCTTCCAAATATTTGCATAAGCGCTGCTTTTGCATCGAATGTCCATCCTACTTCTAAGTTCAACTGCCTTCCCCTTTGTGAGCAACCAAAACCTCCCTCAATGCTGCCCCTACAGTCTTTTCCCTGGAACTTCAATCCTTTGGGAAAGTAGAAAAGAAGGTTCTTTTGCCCCTTTAGGGTAAGCCACAAATATGCCAAAACATGATCATCAACGGCTATGATGGATATGAAAAATCGACAGCACAGGACACACCCCTCAAAGTCTGTAATCCTTTTGGGCTTGACTTGGGCGCTGCCTTCTACGTACGCTCTCCAGCCCAATCCAATGGCACTGACTAACAATGAGCATTGCATTCCTTGTATTCTGCTTCTGCTTCTGCTTCTACTTCAAATGAAGTGCATTCATCCGGTAGCAATCCTTTTTCTTGTCTCTCTTATTTCCTCATCGTTTTTGTTTTGTTCCTTTTTTGCTGCCTTGTGCATCATTTCACTTGAATTTGCGTTGACATCCTGCCAGACGGACAGACAGCTCGTCTCGTCTTGTCTGCTTGTCTATATAATAACGAGCGTTTGCCTGACATATCCTTTAACCATGATTAAAAACGCAAAGTAAATGAAAATTGTTTTGTACAAACGCCTCCTTAGCACACCTTGAAAACAACAAAACAAAAACGGCACACGAAATGGGAGCGGGAACGGGTATGGCTATGGGTATGGGTACGTAGGGCTATATGTATTTGTCCTTTTTCCTAGACAACACGAACTTGAAACGGGGAGTTATCGCAGGACAATAGAGTACTGTCTTCCTTCTTCTGTGTTCCTCTCATGCCACATTCCCCATGTGCAGCACTTAAAAAATCCTACAGATTTTACCACTTAGTGATAAAGTTGCCACGGCCGTCGCCGCCGCCGCTGCTGGTGAATGGCTTTTGTCGTAGGACCAAGGACCAAGGACCTAGAACCTTCCCTTCTTCTTTTATATTTTGTATTCTTTTTTTGTTGCTCCCCATTTAAAACACTCGACTGAAAATAAGCCCAAAGAGGGGACACCAGGACACCCTGTTCTCGCTGTACTTCCTTGCAATTTCATGCTCAAATGGAGTCGTTAAATCATTTTCTGAAATTGAGTCGGGAATTTGTTGTGGCTGTTGTTTCCGTGTGGCATTGACATTGGAGCTGTAGCTGAAGCTGGAGCTGCCCCTCGACAACACACATGTGCAGCAGGGGCACGTCTAGCTGTAAACGGAAGTACTTACTGGGTCTCCAGCTAACATTAAATTAAAATATCTTCGGGATACATTTCTTCGTTTTCATTCTTTCGTTCTGTTTCTGGCTCCTCTTTAATTAAAGTCAAAATGTTTTTTTCTCTCTTCGTTCTTTTCTATTTTTTTTTTTTGATGTGGGGCGTTAAATGCGTTTTGTATGTGATTTCACGGTTTTATGGCTGGCTTCACTTGCTCGCCCTACCCCCCACCCCCCACACACACACACACTCTGCTCATTGGAAGGGAGCTAATGGGCCTCCACTGAGCACATGGAACATGTCTACTTGCCAGGTACTCATGACATTGGCCAAGCATACTTGGAGGTCATTGAGAGCAGCCGCAAGTGCAGATGCCAGGATGTGGGCGGGAGAGTTGGATTGGCTACGCTTTTGCCAGGTGGTGGAGTCGCGGATGATACCATGCTGATATTTTCTGTGATCCTTAGTTACCTCAAATGCATCAGATTGTGGCCTTAAAGTGGCAGTGGAGCAATCATATATCAATTCTGAAAGGATCTCCGGGAACATGCCACATCTTTATGGGTCACCCACATAGTTCCCTTTAAGCTGTTTGTATGTGTGTGTGTGCTTCCCCAATAAGTATCTTTAACTTCCAACATGCCATAAAACACTTTCAAACCAACCGAAATGTCTGAAAATTATGTACAGAACAAGGTCAGCAGACCAAACCAGAGGAGACCAGCTCGGACCCCAGTACTCGGACCCCAGAGCCCAGAGACCATACCCCCCACCTCCTCCGACCATCGTACAGAGCCCAGAGCACTCGATCCAAGGACCGAGCCCAATGGCCAATATATCACATGACGCCTACAATTTAAACTGCCAAAAAAATGAAATGCAAACGGGGCGAACGAAGAGAAATGGCAAACATTTATATAAATAACGCCATCGACTCCAATTAAAGCAGTTTTCGGCAGACAGAGAGGGGGAGAGAGAGAGAGAGGGTGAGAGTGGTGCTGCTGTTCCAAGGGGGTGAGGGGTGGGTGTTGGCCGGGCTTGTGGGAGAAGCTGTTCCGTGTGATAAAAACCGCAAAACCAATTTTTCTTTATGTATGTTGGAGTGTTTGTTTATGTGTGTGTGTGTGTGTAATAAAAATGCAAAACAAAAGCGTTCAAATATGTGTTTTTGTTGCTGTACTCGCGACCATGGTTGCCAGCGTGGGCGTGGCACTTGCAGAGCTAAAAGACAGCAAAGCCAAGGGAAGGGCATGGCAGGGCAGGGGGGAGGTAACCAAACCAAACCAAACCACTTCCAAGTGTCATTCGCATACGAAACAATGACGTACCGACGAGAGGAAGAAGCAACAGCCACAGCAGCAGCAGCAGCAGCAGGAGGAGAGTGTAATAGACAGAGCGAAAGATAGGGTTGCCATAGATTAAAAGACGGCCTTGGAGCTACTCTTAAAGCTCTCGAAGATCAGCGATGCTGAGAGGATGCCCCAGAATTGGCACGAGCTATGGGTATCTGCTGCTGTTTGGACAGTGGTTTCCGCTTTCATTGGTTCCTTGGAATATCCTTTATCCCTTTCTCTGATCCGTAAGCTACCTCTCCCCACCTGCCCTGCCCTAGATACAGACTATCCAAGCCGATCACTTATTCCATGTACCCCATTTCCTTGCAGCCCCAGTATGCAAAGCATAAAACAAGACCAACAAGGAATGTTGCAGCCAGCGGAGACGAGGAAATAATAATTTATGCATGCGTTGTGGTGGCGTTGCAGCGGCAGACGGGGGGTGGTGCAGTACCCCAGAAACCGCAAAATGTTTCGACTTGCGTTTCATTGTTGTTGCAATTGTTGTTGCAGTTGTTTACTGTACGCAAAAAGTGAATCTGAGCTGCAGGCGCTGCCGCTGCTGCAGCAACCGGAAAACGGAAATTGTGGCCAGCTCACCGCCCCGTTCCCACTCAAACCACATGACCCATCCCCACCTCCCCGCGCCACTCTGGTGCTCTCAAGGATTTATGCTTGGCCACCGTTTAAGTCAGGCCAATCTGTTTCTTTCTTCCTCCACGCGCAGCCCACTCTCTGTCTCTCTCCCTGTCCCCATCATTTTGCTTTGAGTTGCATTGGCCGCGGTTTTTGTCCCGCTTTGCAGTGGGAGGATCTTGAGGGGTTTCTTTGGAGCCCGTATAACAATTTGCAATTAAATGTTTTCTATTTGCAAATTGCCAGAAATTGTCGCCCGGCATTCGTTGGCTTCGAGTTACGATTGAGTTGCGGCTGTGCTAACCAAAAACAACTGCAGCTGCTGTTCTTGTTGTGTCTGCGGGTGCAAGCCAACAGACCGCCCCCAAGGCGCCGCCCCTGGAGATAAGGTCGCATCAGCCCGGCTAGGTACTACGATGGAACCAACCACGACCCACAAATATGTTCTAAAACAAAAACAAAAAACATACACAAAATTACCTACACTTTTTCATTCCATTCGATCCATTTGTAAACCCTCCCAGCTGTACTCAACCCCCACTAAGCCACCATAATCAATGCCTTAAAAAACCCGCAGAATGCCGAAAATCCCTTTTAAAAATTATAGAAAAAATCCAAACCAAAATCGGGCATATGAATTTAATTGCCTAAACAATTCTAATCAAGCTGCACGGCCCTCAAACGGGACAAAAGGGCCAGAAAAGCACCCAAATTGCTGATTGCATTTAATAAAAATATAATGTGGCCCGCAATCGAGTGGCAATCGAGTGGGAATGGGGAACGAACCACCACCGAGCGACCGAGCGATCAAAACCCCGAAAAAAGAAATGGCAAACGAATGGGAATCGAAGTGGAATCAATTCGAGACCGAAAATGAATGCGAAAAGCAAACGCAGAACGAATGACGACAATGCCAACTTAATTTCTGTCATAGAAAGCATGAAAAGGAGCAGCCAGAGCGGCAGCGGCAGCATCAGCATCAAATTGACATATTGACAGCCAGACAAAGGTCCTTCCAAAAATTGGGGTGGCCACAGGAGGAGGTGGTACGATTCTGCGGCTGCTATGCCGCACTGCAGTTTGATGGCGGCGTCAAAAATAAGCAAACATTGCGACAGCAATAAAATATCAAAACGAGGCACGAAGCAAGAGGCAAGAGGGCAGGAATGTTGTGGCTTAATTGGGGCAGCAGCAGGCCCATAGAAAAATCCAATCAAAACGCAATGAAAACACAGCAAAGGATCAGGCTCAGGAGGAGCAGGAGAAGGAGGAGTATTGTCCCAATCTCTCTCTCTATATCTCTCAGAGTTGGCAGCTGTAGACCTCAATCGAGTGTGTTGATGTTATCCTGGCAAATAATCAAACAAACGGCCCAACAAGGACCTTGTCAAGTAGACATGTAAGCGATACAGAAGCAGATACCACAGATACTGGTGCCACATCTCGTTGCATTGCCCGTTGCAGTGGTAGTGGCTGCTGCAATCAGTGGAGCGTGTGTAAGCCACCCCAGGCAGAGGCAGAGGCAGCCCTGACCTAATCCAATTTGCGGCACAATGGACAAATCCTGTTTTTGTTTTCGCTTAGCCCGCTCTGGTCACACTGACAAAACCGAGAAAAGAAAACACAAACAAGAGAGAGAGCCATGTACGAAGGATATACATAAATATTTGGTTGGGATTTTGGTTTTCTAAAAAGTATCCTGAAGCGGAACTCTTCCACCTTTGGGCGGGCTCCTGGTTTTTATCTGCTGCCACATAAACCCATTAATCCTCAGAGCCCTTAAGCTATTAATAAAGACATCCCAACGCCCCGCAGCTTCCCGTTCGGTCTCCACTAATTTTATGGTTCGCCCATCAAGCAAATCCATGAACAGAACTACGAGTACACGACACCACCAAAGGCCAATCAAACCTCATGACCTCCACCCCACTACCCCACGCGTTCGTACTCGCATAAAAGCCACCAAATGTTTGTGTCTAAAAACAAATAAGACAAAGCACACATAAACCACGCCCCCGCCATACCATCATACACCCGATGGTGTATCCCCCAGATGATCAACAAAGGGAAATTTGTTAGCGTGTTATGTAAATTGCAGACAGGCCTCACAGAGGAGGGAGCCTGTATGGCTACATTATGTAAATAAAAGAAATAATAAGCTCCCAGGGATCCAAAGACAAAGGCCAGCTACAACAACAACAAAATATATATGTTTATTATTTTCCTGATGCGTTGATGATTTTTATACTCGTTTGTAGGTACATGGGGGCGCAGTTACCTCCCCCGCACTCCCATGAAGGCAACTCGCTTTAAGGATGTGATTGTTGCTACCACCTATTTTTGGGAACTTTTGCACTATCAAGTGTCCCATTTCATGGCTGTTTAACCACTTAACTTTATCGTAAAGTTGGTCACTGAAATATTCATATTTACACTCGGATTTGCTCCGTGACCTTAAGCACGATTATCGACTATCGTTTGAGGCATAGGAAGACAAGATAAAAAAATACTATAAGCAAATACTGATACAAATTTCCACTGATCAAGTACTCTGCGCTCCAGATGCCTTTCCAGCTTCCCAGAAATATCAATTAAATATTTTAGTAACAAGCCAACACGAGCCGTAGCCGACACGACTTTTCAAACATTCCAAATTAAAATAAGTACAACAACGAATATGAAATCAGTTTTGTTTGGCTTTCGCTCCAATCTCCTTCGATGGCGGGCCATCGGCGACCAGCAGAATCAGCAGCAGCATCGCAGGACCCTGGCGGCTATCCTGCACCAGCCGCAGCCGCAGCCGCAGCAGCAGCAGCAGCCTCGTAGAACTCTGTGGAAAAATGCGGCCTTGCTTGTGTCCCCCCAAGAAAAGACGCAGCCACAGAGTGGGGAAATGCCACGTCTCCGCTTCATGCAGTATCAGCGGCCCCATGACGCTGTCAAGCGACTGGGCGTAGTTTCCGATGATGGCAGCAAGATGGTGGAGCTGTCGATCAACACGTGCGCCGACGACGACATGGTGAAGTTCATCCGTCAGCGCTACTGCATGAACACCCTGCTGGATAACTTGCAGTATTTGAAAGTGAGGGACGTGTACAAGGATCTGCGCCTGCTGCCGCCCATCGGTGATCCGTGCAAGATCGTGGGAGTGCAAAACAACTACGCGGATAACTGTGACGAGCAGCACATACCCATACCGCGGGAGCCGTCGTTTTTCGTCAAGTTCAGTACCTCCATCACCGGCCCCCTGGACAATATACAGGCCCACCGCCAGGCCAAGCACATCGACTACGGCTGCCAGCTGGTCGTGGTCATTGAGCGGACATGCCGCAAAGTGCCCCGCAGCGCAGCCATGAAGCACATCTTTGGCTACACGCTGGCCCAGGACATCACCGCCCGTGACTGGAGCGCCCTGCTCGGCGGCAAGTCGCTGGACACCTTCTGCCCCCTGGGCCCCGCCATCGTGCACAAGTCCCATGTGCCCGATGTCAATAATCTGTGGATCAAAACAATCGTCAACGGGGAGCAGCGGCAGACGGGCAACACAAGGAATATGATCTTCAAAATTGACTATCTCGTGCATCGCCTGTCTCAGTTCATAACGCTCTATCCCGGCGACATGATACTGACTGGCACACCAGCCGGGGCCGGGGCATATAGGCGGCCAACAAGCTTCCTGCAGCCCGGCGATCGCATCGATAGTGAGATACAAATATTGGGTAAAATGAGCAACAGAGTTGTGAATGCCGTGGCTTAAAGCAACCAAAACGAAGGACACTTAAGAACGGAGAATAAACAAGGAATACGAGTATAGCATTTGCATTGAAGTTTTCTTTGACAAATTCGCAGAGCCCACATCCAGCATATGGCACATAATATTCCAAGGGATTTTCCTGGTGCCTAACCAACCAAAAACACACAGCCAAATATGCGATTCGAGAGTGATAGAGAGCGGAGGGAGGGCATCGCCGAATCATTTTGTAATATAATTTGTTTTGCTCGATGGTTTCGATGGTGTGGGGTGGGGCATGGAAATGGGTGCTGGGCTACACTTTTATGATGCGCCCCAGCATAATCAGCATTATCCTCAGAGTCACAGGCCGTACACAGAACAAACATGGCAAAAAGGCTGGATGGCTGGCTGGCTGGCTGGCTGGGAGGGATTCCCCGCAGAGAAAGCCCCGCCGCATTATCATCTCGTTGCTCAGGACTTAATCCTGCGGCAGGTTATTAAAGCGTAACGCGTTTCGGTCTTGTCCTTTTGTCAGAGTCCTTCGGCTCCTGGTGGTTCCACTGCTGCTGCTTCTGCTGCTGTGCCAAGTCCTGGGCCTCCAGCTTCGTCCCCCTTTTATTGTTCGCGCTGCGCTTAACTTGTTTCGCATTGAGCGAGCGAGGGTTGAGCCCTACTGGCTGGCGACGACGACGACGACGCCGCCTTAATGCTAAATGATCCAATATCCTGTTTCCTGCATTTGTGTTCTGCAGCGTTAAAAGGTCCTTTGTGGCCTCGGCTCGCTATTATTTGCCTTGGCCAACTGAAAGATGTTTTTCCTCTGAGAGCATTTCCCCAACCCACCAACCCCCAGCCACACTGCTGTCTCTCCTGTCTCTTCTGCTTCTTCCTCAATTATTTGCTCGGCAAAGAAGCAAAAAGATGTCGAGGAAAGAGAGCAGAGGCAGAGCCAGTGGCAGCGCCAGAACAAGTGGCAGTGGGAACATCATTTTGTATCTTTTCTTTGTGCACGGCAACTCAAATAGCGGAATGTAAAGTTTTTAATTATGCAACTCCAACGATGACGCTGTCGCTGTCGCATTGTGTGTGCTCCCCCCACCACCACTCTCTGTCATCGGCCATAAAGTTAAAATACACATAATTAGCCATAGTACTAGTACTTTCGGGTAGTCGCAGCTCGAGCGACAGAATTTTAGGCACTCCCGCGGCACGTTCCAACGGCCGTTGTTCGGCTTTGGTTTGTGTATCTTTGGCATATCTTTTGGGCTTAGTGCGCGCTCCCCCGCTTCGTTTTTTCTGGAGGAAACTAGGCCAGTGTTGCCTTGCCGAAAGTTTCTGTTTAGTTTGGGCATGGAAAAAGCGACGCTGACAAAGGCCTCGGCTAATTAAATGAAAATATTAATTGTGATCTAGTAGGGAATGTGATGTGGCCCAAGCAAGGATGGAAGATTAAAAAGATTGCTCATTAAAATACAAATTTAAGTTGAGGAACATTCCATCTCCCCCATAGAGGAAATAGTCCAAAAGAGATATGTCCAGACAGTAGCCATTGGATTGGAACTTCAAAACTGTGGCTAGTCCTCCAAGGGAGAGTACACTAACATTCCTTTATCAAAGGATTCAACCCCAGAACTCCAAAAGCCCCATGGCAAGACTCTGTTCCTAGGATATTTCTGCAACTTTGTATGCCACACATAATATAGAATACGGAAACCCTCAATATTTAGGAATGGTTGGCACAAACACATAAAATGTTACATGTCGTAATATTCACCACAACCGACAACACCAACAACAGCAACAAAAACAAAAACAAACAAGCAAAATAATAACTACAACAAACAGGCCAAAGTCAAAACATGCCAGAGAACATGGCATTGAAAGCTGTTGGCAAAGAAAAAAAAATATATATATATAAAAGAGGGAACAAGCAGGAAGAGCAGGCGGAGGCGGAGTCGGAGGCACAATGAATGTATGCATGATGACAGTGGGGCAAAAAAGAAAACAAATTTTCCTCTCCTTTTGCACCCTCTCACAACATAATCTTTTTAACAATTTGTAGGGAATGTGTGTGTGGATATCCCAGAGCCAAAGTCAATGCCGAAGTATGCAGAAATTTTGTTTTGTTTTGCAGCTCCTTTTTTTGCTTGTGCTTTGTTATACATAATCCTTGAGAGGTGTGACATTTGTATGTATAAATTTCAACTTTGATCCTTAAAGGATAGCCCGGGGGTGTGGCAAGCCAATTGCCAGGCACGAAATCCAAATAAACCCAAACGAAACGAAACGAAACAGTACGACAAAGACAACAAATGTGGCCGTATCTAAACGTGTGGCACTCTCGAGGCACACTCGAGATCTCTGTGGCAAGACTCCTCCACACTTAAGTTGTCAAAATCAGCACAAAACTCCTCTTTGTTTGTGAGCGAGTGTGTTTGGGTTTGGTTTTTTTTGGGAAAAATTTTATTTTTCTTTTCATTTAACTGTCATGTATTTTGCATACACAAAGCCCTCCTTCCCCCACACCCACGACTCCGGACCGTTGTTCCCAATTGAATGCCAGACACAAGACTATTTTCCAGTCCTGTTTGCTCTGCAATTTTATTTGTGACATTTGACCACCGCCGTCTGCAAAAGATCAAAAGGAAATTTCATTTATTTTCATTCTCTCTTTTAGGTGGCATTAATCACACCTACTTGGTGGGGGGGCACAACTTTTGGGGCCATTGAAATGCCCAAATTGGAATTATTTTGAAGTGGACAAGGCCCAAGTATTTTTCCAAGAAATTATTAATGAGTAAAGTCAGCTTGTGGGTATGAAAAATTGACTTGAAAAATGCCCAAAAAGTCTATGGAAAAAAGTATGAAAAATCCTTAAAATATGGGGGAAAAATATACATAATAAATAAACTTTTAATAATACGCACTGAAATTTCAGCAGGGGTTGCACAATTCATCTACAACTCTGTTCCATTCCATCAAATCTCGATAAGAAATAACTTTTTGAAATGGCTAAGTGATCTCTAATAGATTGAGGACCAACAACAGAGGCAGCCTGTGTGCCAGCCATTAGGCAACACATTTCACACACACTCAAAGACCAAGGACCCAAGCGCATCGCGTGCCTTTTTGCTTTAACCCAACCCCGGAGGAGGAAGCCTGATCCAGCACAATCCTCTAACGCCCGATAATTATGTTGGAATATTTCCAGCGATAATTGCTTGATTTGCACAATGTCTGTTGATGTTTTCATAATGGATGCTTTCTGGGCATAAATTACAAGTTCTCCTGCTCTCGCATTCGCTTGGCATGTGGTGCACATGCATGTGGCATGCTGCACACAGAGTCGAGTGGCAGATTGATAAGAGAAGGGAGCAGCGTCCCAGAAGGGAGCGCACTATACGGAATTAACACATTTGCGTTCGATCAGGATAATAATGATGCTGCTGGGGTGCTTAGAAAATCCATAGCTTGGCATTCGGGGTGAGTTTTCCTTTTTATTTCCCCTCACCCTCTGCCTCGCCCCTTTTAGGGTGTGCCAAAACAGTGGCAGCTGCTTTTCCTGCCTTTCCTGCTTTTCCTGCTGCTGTTGCGCAGTTTTTGGAAATCCATTTGCCCGCAACGCATGCGTCACTTTAGATTTACGGATATACGAGTAAGAGTACTCGTACGGATGCACTTTAATAATTTTTCACTCTCCATCGATCTGTCCGATCCGATCCCTTTGTGTCCCGCATGGAAAGACAGTACAAATTTCTGGACAGTTTCGTTTTTATTACGAGTTCGAGTACTCGTATTTTCAAGTGCATTATTGGCTCCCCCCCTGTCAAATGTTTGAAGCATTTGCAATTATTCTGGCATGGCGATTCCGACACAACAGATCGTTAAGCAGCTACCTTATGAGGGTGGAGTGTCCAGCGACCGAATAACAGTTGCGCTCAATGATCCAGCTCGATTTGTCCAGCATTTCCTGTCCATAAATTGGCTCAGATCTGTCCCATTATATGTGTCAAAGATTACATTTTTATGGGTGGCAATAATCAATGGAAAGTGATGGCAAGGCAGCAGAGCAGAGCATATCCAAAAATAATATGCTAGGAACTCTTTCCAGACTGAAGGCACAAATTCAAATGAACTATGTAAAGTTTTGTGCTTACCTTCCCTCAGAATAAAGCCATAGAAATCACATGAGTGGAGAAGGACCCTACCATTCAGTTGAGTGTTACTAAATCCATTTAAGCGGTAATTAGCTCAAGTCAACAAATCAAAGCAAAGCTTCAGATGGATTTCAATTTTAATTGCCCCAACCCTTCCACCAAAGCACTAGTTGGGGCTATCAGCAAGCAGAGCTGAGAGCAGCTGAGAGTTAAAAGAACTGCTAAGACCTAAGCTTACTTAATGTGACCACTTTGAGCGGTGTCGACACGAACGCAGCCAGAGTTGCCTACTTAGCGGACAGAGGGAACGCGGACTCCCCGCTAACTGTGGAACTGATAGGAAGAGGACTACTCTGTAATCGGCTTAGGGCAATAAATTGTTCATGGCCCAGGCTGCACTCTCTGCCACTCTACCACAGAGAGCTAGAGAGCTGCTTTGGAGCAACAAAGTTGACAAAATGGCCAACAAAATGCAACGTTTTTTATCACTTCTCTTGGGTTTCTTTGCTTTTCACCACAATGATTAATCACCCTGACGGGAGAGGCGTGTTACCCGCCTCTGGTAATATAATATTTGTCATAGTTCATAATTTAGATATTTTTTCGGTCGATGGCTGAGGGATTCAACCCCTCAGCAGGCAGCAAAAAAACTAACAAAAGACAAAATGTTGCAGTCTGGTAAAAAACATCAACTGCATATGTTGCACACAGTTCAAGTGTGGTGCAGTGTGGAGGGGTGCATTGTGGCGGGGGGTTGGGTTTGTTTGCGCAGGGGTGACCTGACCATGATGATACATATACGAGTATATATCCCTGTTTATTTGCTTAGTATCGCCAACAATGTGTCTGGGTTCCGCTGTTTGCCTTGAGGGTTCATCCGGATACGAAACTGTCGTCCCACTATTGTTTGGGTGGCTCGGTTAGTA